CACTATGATATTTAGGATTCCCTTTAATGCTTTGATATCTTCCATAAGCTTACAGGCTAAAGCTCTCCATGACCGATACTAGTTTTTTACTCCATCAAACTGTTATTAGAAGAGAAATTTCTTGGTGTTCTGTAATGATGGTGTTATTCTGGAAGGTGTTCTGATTTTCCTTTACACTTTGCAGATCAAGTTTTTTTTTTACTATTTTTCTACTAATAATGCTGCTAATAAATAAAATATATTACTATTGTTTCGATGCATATTGTTTTGTTAACTGCTGATAGAAATGTTGTGATGCATTTGGGTGCTTGACTGTTGATAAGGAATACGTTTAGTAACTCGTGCAAGTTTAATAGAACCCAGTGTAAAAGATGGGCATGTAAACTCTAAGGATCACGTGGTCAATCTGTGAGGTATATTATAAACTCTAAGGATCACGTGGTCAATCTGTGAGGTATATTATAGAAATTCAGAGAGCTTTTGTCATTAATAACAGTGTGTCTTTCTATTTAAAATTAATAAAACCAGGCGAATGCTTCTTTTAGCTCCCATATTCCGAATATAAGAATTTGAAACTTACGGTTGACTTTCCGCCGTATATGTCAACCAAAATATAAAATATCTTAGCAAAATTATAAATGCAGAAAACGTGAACATTGGTCCACAAATACCCCAGCCTCCGTATATAAATAATACGAATAATATCGTTATTCTAGCCTATTTTTTCCGAATATGTATGTATGAATAAGTTTATGAGTTATATTCAGAAAATTGCATAGAAACATGTATTTGAGTATACTTTAATAGTGGCAAAATTTAACGCAATCAGCCTAGACCTTCACCTGACGTTAAACCATTTATAATGTTGAATTCTTAATGATCTCAAGGTTTCTTAAAAATAATGTGGTTTTACACTGAATATGAAAGAAATTGACGTAGATCTTGTTCTGAACTTCATGTCTCCAATGGAATGACTTCCGGTTATTTAGATCGCTTTTTCGTCATATAACCATTGTTTTAAATTTAGCCTTTTTGGTTGAATTTATATCACATACACATAGCCAATAAAGTCTGCGTTTACCCGACACATTTTTTTAAGTGAAGTAAAAACACAATGTAAATAGGTAATTCAATTCAAATTGTCTGCATGTATTTCTTCTTTATATTTTCAAGTTCGAAATGCAAAAACAAAAATGTATATTCCTATTTTCATTTTTGTGACAACGGAATTTTAGTGTAAGAACAAGTAAACATAGGAACCATTAAGCCTGCACCTTCAGTTAGCTTGAATTGGAAATACCGTTACTTCTCATGAATTTGTTCGTTCCTTTTGCATAGATTCAATTGTGTTTTAATACTATATAATTAGTCGTTTAAAGAGCTCGAGACACGTTTTAATAATATTTAAAAAAATGAAAACCAAAGGAAAAGAAATTAGTCTGTCGAAAAGAAATATTATCATTAATTTGTGGAAAGATGGCGAAAGTTTCAAAAAAATTGGGAAAACTATTGGAAGAACGTATTCTTCTGTTCAGCGCGTCGTAAACAATTAAAAAAAAAACGGAATTTTAACGGAAGAACGGAAAATAATAAATATGGTGAAAGTTAACCCTCGAATTTCGTTCACAAACTGCTGGAAAAATTTTGCGAAAAGCTGGATATCATGATAGAGTCGCTCGAAAGAAACCATATATTGTATTTCACTTGTAAACAGGCGAAAGCGCATTGAATTTGTTCATAATTATATAAATAAGTCGCCGGAATTCTGGAGACAAGTAATATTTTCGGATGAAAGTAAATTTTGCATTTTTGGTCGACAAATTGTGTGACGCAAGTCAGGAACTGCCCTTGAAAAGCAAAATTTTGTTGATACAGTTAAACCAGAGAACTTAGAAGAACGAGTAGGTGCAGGTTCGACAGCGAAAATTTGTAAAATTTTATCAAGGAGTTCTTCACACATGCAGGAGATACAAATAACATTCCTTTACATTCGCTTTTATAACAGCTGTTAATCTGTACACATACGCTCTCTTAACATAACCAACCGGCGAATATTGAAGAGAATATAATATGTATGCCAAACTGGGAATATTGATATACCATTTGAAATATATTCCCTTTTATTGAACTATTATGTATTATTTTTTAAATTATTTTATGTTAATTCATTTTTACTTTATTATGAGAAATTTATCAAAATACTTTTAAGTTATTACTAATAAATTATTTTGATATATTTCTTAAAATAATTCATGTACTTAACACCATTATGGAGTCACAAAAGTACAGATTTGTGTTTTGCCGTCGGTATGTTCATATCATGTGTACATGTAAAGAAATATGAAATAAAAATGTTTGTTAATTTGTCTACAAACAACATATGTATGTAAATATGTACACTCATTACTTCATGTCAAATCTCCGTTGACACGGTCAACCAATGATCGAAGCTCACGTTTATTGCTTTTGTGTCAAAGAGTCAATCTGTCGAAGGACCGACTCGACGACAAAGCGTCAAAACATTGTGTTGTTGTTAGAAAATCCGAGATATGCCGAAAAGTAAACGAACGGTCGCCGATTATCACC